TCTTTAAGTCTATGGCCCATCGATTTCCCCCACATTTTTGTTAAAAAAAGTCTACATTTTTTAGATACCTTTACTTGCTTTAAAATATATATTCATGTCAATCTTTCCTAAAACAAAGTGAATAAACTGTCCCTGATTCTATTTTTCTTTAGCTTATGTTTCTTTTTTCTTTTGTTCTCCAGAAAATCTAAATGTATAGAGAATAATTTGTAATAAATGTCTAATTTCTCCTCACATTTTATCATCAGCTGTTTTCATTCCTGCACTTCTAATTCCACAAGAATCCTTACTGATAGAAGTCACCAGGGATCTCTGAAATGCTACATCCTATAAATAATTTTCGTCTTCATCTTACTATGTCTCTTTGCTTACTTTGCTGCAGTGGTTGTTTATCCCCAGGTATTCTCTACTGTTTGATTTCTATAAAACATATTTACATGGCTCTCCATATACATCTCTGATGATTCAATACCTTAATGAGGTTTGTTTTTATCCTCCTACTTCTTAAATAGTGGTGCCACTCAGAGATACTGTTATCCCTCAGATGTCTGTCCTCTACACCTTATACCTCTCAGTCTGTGTTCAACATCACATTTTAGTACTGTGCACATATTTTAAAAAATTTTTGTTTCTAGTGCAGAATTTGCCTTGAACTTTATTTTTTCCAGTTTAATAGGATCTATTAATACTTTGCCATCTTGCTTTATTTATATGCCTTCCATCCCTACTTATTTGCTAGTGAGTATTTTAAAACAAATCACAGAAATCATATCATTTCATCCATATACTTCCAGATGCATGTATAGGAAATAAGAATTTTAAAAACTACAATATCATCACCATTCTTAAAAAACTGACAATAATTCAATGATACCATGAAATACCTAACCCATGTTCAATTTCCCTCAGTTGTCTTAAAATTTTCTTTTCAATGTAATCGAATCAAAATTCAAGTATTGTTCATACATTGCATTTTTGTTATAATGTTCCTTAATCAGTATCAATCCTCAAACTTTTTTGTCATTGTTTATTGGCACTCTAGGAAGTATTAAAATTAGCTAGTAATTTGCTCACTTTCTGTCTCTTTCAATATATCCAATTTGAAACAATACTGCTTAATTCTAAGAAAATAACTCCTAGGCAATTAGAGCTCTTACTTTATTTTTCATCCTCTTCTCTTCAGGCCCACATTTTTTGTACTCTTTAGATAATATTGTCACTCACTTTCTTGATGTCTTCTTCGGAATGACTCATGGACAGTTCATTCCAAATGGTTCAAACATGATGTTTTTGCTTTCCTAAACTATCTACTTTTCCTATTATCATCACATTAACACAGTTTTTATCTACTTCCTCTACCAAATCTAGAAATCTTTGCAACTTTGACTTATTTTTAAGATCTTCACATCCAATTATATTCCAATTACTGCTAATTTTAGTGGTTAAATACCTATCAAACTAACCTCCTCTCTGTCTTTAATATCACTGCCCTGCTGTAGTCTCGTGGTCTTTCTTATTGTGCTGTGGCAATCGTTTTCTCTCTAACCTTCCCTTCCCCCGTCATATATATTAAATTCACTCCCCGCATAGGCATCAGTATGTGGCGTCTTCAATACACACATGAAAATATCACTTACTCAGCTCAACGCTACTCCTCAATTTTTGCTTTCTCTAGCAGCGGTTTTTGTTTGACAGTTGTAAATTGTAAGAGGAAAGTTTCATTTAAAACTGAATATACACACACATATTTGTAGTGATTTAAGGTCCCTAACTTTTAACTCTTAATTACATAGAAAAGGAATTCTTGACTGGTATGATAAAAGCCAAACAAACCATCATCAGAGAATCCCTTTCCTTTTTACAGAACACTTGCTTCTTTATTTGCTGATCTCTGTCTGAACTCTCAGGGGTGGGAAGGACAGGTTTATTTGCCTTCAACTTATGGATGATGATGGCACTGAGAGATGACATGACTTACTCGTGCTTTTTGGTTTTGTTAGGTTATTTAATTATGCAAACAATACCACATTTTAAGAGGCTCAATGGTATGGGGGAAATATAACAAAAGCAAAATATAATAAGTAATACGTAAAGGTAAATATAAAATGGTAACCCCCTGACAATGAAGTGATCAATTTTGATGAAATGGTAAAGATCATGAACAATAATTCTACAAAGACACCTACTAAGCAGATGGGGAAAGAACTTTCTAGGTTAAAAAAAAAGATATAAATTAAGAGATAATATGAGTAGGCAGCATAGACCCACTATAGCAGCAGAAGAGGCAATATGAAAATGGCAGAAGTGAGTTTTGTGGATAAAAAGAATTATTTGCAGGTTAAAGAAGAAAGGTAGTTATGAAATGATGTACAAATGCATTTGAGCTCTGGCTTCTAGGAAGTAGGAGCCATAGTCTGAGTAAAATTAAAGTAACTAGACTAAGGTAACAGGTAAGAATTTGTAGGGATTTATCTAAAACTGTAAATTAGATGGAAATTAACAAATGTAGTTCTATGGTATAGTTGGTGTGATAAATTGGAATCAAGAATAACAATGTGAAATAGGAAGAAAAAGGCTAAAGGTGTGGGAAAAGTGGGAAGGGTAGGAGAAAGGTAATAACAGAAAAGAAAAAAATATGAGAAAATGAAAAAATGGAAATAAAGTGTTTGTAAATGGGGAGGGGAGGAGGGGGTGAAGGGAGGGCAGGGACAAGGGGAGAAAAATGAGAACCAAGACCTGTCATGTAGAGGTACAAGATCCCAATGATGAATGTAACTGTACTGTATACCTAGAGTGTACCAATAAACTCAATGAGAGAAAAAAATAGAATAACAAACTTCGGCATTTTGGTGAAATATGCGTGTTATAACCCAAGATAAGAAATGAAGGGAATGATGAGGGAACACAGGATATCGGTTTGGAAAATGACAAATTGATGTGTCTGAAGGGTCTTATAAACAAACAACGATGAACTGAAAACAGGGACAGGCTTGTAGTAAGCAAAATGTATTGAGGCCTATTGTGTACAGGAAGACTAACCTGAATAGTTTGATAGGACTACTGTAACAACATTCCACAAACTGAGTAACTTAAAAACATAAAATGTTTTCTCCCTCTTCTAGATATTGTCAAGGTTGGTTCCTTCTAAGAATTAAGAGAGAAAATCTTTGCATGCTTTTTGCCTAGTTTCAGGTGTTTTGATTTTGTTTTTTCTTGCCATCTTTGGTGTTTCTTTATGTGTAGACATATGATCCCAATCTCAGACTTCAGGTTCACATTGTACTCTCCCTCTGGCGGTGTCTATCTGTACTTATCCCCCTTCTCAGAAGGCAACAGTGGTTTTGCATTGGGAACCAATGCTACTCCATTTGACCTGGTAATTTGGCTAGTTCCACCTGCAAAGACCTATTTCCAAGTAAAGTCACATTCTGTGTTACTGAGCAATAGGATTTCAACATTGAAAAAAACATTTTATTTGAGGGAAACAGTTCAAACCATGGTACTATGTCTTAGCAAGCTCTCCGAATGGGGGCATTAAGCAAGAGTATTTATTAGTTTTTAAGCATGGGTCATATTAATTTTGTAATATGTTTTGCAAAATCTGGATGGAGCTTGGCAAACTTTTTGAGAAGCTAGTTTTAGATTATAGGGTAAAAGTAGAATAGAAATGTAGAATAGGTCGGAAGAGTATTTGGTTGAATTTTAGTTTTATTGTCCCAAACTGGGAATACACTGGAACACACCAGATAGGTTACTTTTTCTTGATCTCAGTTTGTTAAAAAGGGAATTCACAATATACTTTGTCACAGTATTATTTAATATATAAAAAATTGCAATTATGTTGATGTAATCCTCACCTGTATAATTTTAAAGCTTGTCAATTACACAATTTTAACTTTTCCACCATTGGTTGATATATCCCAAAATAGTTTTATCATTACTGGTTCAAACAAATGATCTAATAAAATTTTTCTTTTATTTCTTACACTTATAATCATTCTTCTATTGATTATTCTAAATCTTGCTATCTTTCTTATATTTCTGATAGTCTTCAGAAGAATTATCAATTTATTTGTCTTTAAATTTGCTAATACCTCTTTCTCATTTCTTTCTTTCTTTTTCTTTCTTTCTGTCTTTCTTTCTTTCTTTTTTTCTACTTGTCTGTCTGTTTCTTTCATTCTATTTATCTCCTCTCAAATGTTCTGTTTTCTAGACAAATTACCTACTCCTTCAAATTCCCTAATTAAAAACTATATTTATAATTATAAACAATTTTATGGGATGCTAATAATATTGATAACTCCCATTGGTTAAATTATTAACATTATCAGCATCCCATGTGTGCTTGCATCTTAAAATCTGAATACAACCTTCAAGGAAAAAATGAATCACAGTCCTGTGTCTCTCATTCTTTTCAATGATAACTAATCTTAATGTTAATTTTGATACGAATCTAAATACTATTATCTGGTACTTTATGGTACCACTTTATTGGCAGCAGATATGCATATGAAATTTCTACCTCAAATATATATTCTTATTTTGTTGAAATTAGTTTGAAAAGTTTTAAAATATCATCTACATTTTGCCTAGGACATGACTTCTAAGTAATCATGTTCACCAAAAGCATTTTACCCATTCTATCAGGCTTAAAACATACAAAATATAAAATACAGGAAGAATTTAAAATAAAGTTTTTTTTTTTTCAGTGAACATGTCTATGTATTTGGGGAAAAACTGATGGTGAAATGTCAAGAATTATTTCTCTTTTAAGAAAACGTTATGTGTAAACCCATATAATGTCCAGAATTATAATGTACTACTCACTTTAGTGTATAAATGATCTGTGATGGGTAATTAGATCAGTAGGATGTAGTCCCACAATCAACAGAAACCCTAAAGCAATTTAGAGTTGTTTTGAATCTTTAAAAAAAAAATCCAAAAAGAAGTTGAAAAAAAAGTCAATAGTTTTAAATGTTTCTTTTTTTTACTTGCCACAGGGTCCAAGTTTTCTGTCTGAGGCAGCTTTTCTTCAACATGTAATGAAAATTGAAGAAATAGATCCCTTCTTCAACCTTCATGAAACCATTACCAAGGTAGGGAGGGACGGGTTCAGGAGTTCATGAACAGGGTGGGAAACTTGTTGCTTTGTTTTCTCTTCATCTATCAGCCCCTTCCACTTACAGAGATCGACCTCTCAGTTTTGTATAATTTGTCTTATACTTTGTCCTTTAATTTATCTATATTTTATGATTTTCATGTAAGAGAAACCATGCGAAATTTAAGCTTGTATGTCTGATTTGTTCCAAGAATATTATGGACTCAAGGTGTGTCCATTTTCCTAAAAATGACTCAAATTTACTCTTCTTTATAATAGAGTAATAGTGCATTGTGTCTGAATACCACATTTTATTTATTCACTCATCTGTTGCTGGACATATAGGCTTCTTTAAAGATTTAGCTTTTATGAATTGTGTTGCTATAAACATGGGTATGCACGTATCACTGTTATATAATGTCATTATTTATGGAAGATACTTATAAGGGAAAAACCTGGGTTCAATAGAATTTCTGGTTTTCATATTTGTGGAATCTCTATATTGATTTCCATAGTGGTTTTATGAGTTAAGGTTCCCACCAACAATGTAGGCATTCTTTTTTCTCTTCAGCCTCTTCATATTTTTTATTAATTTATTGATGCTAGCCATTCTTTCTGGAGTAAGATGGAATCTCAATGTTGTTTTCTCATTTGTCTATGGGTCACTAATGATGAACTTTTTTCAAGTATTTACTAGCTATTTTGTATTTTTTTCTTTGGAAAAATCTGTTCATTTTAGTTATCCATTTTTGGATTGGGTCTTTTATTTGAGGATGTCGATTTTTTGTCATTCTTTATATATTTCAGATGTAAACATGTCTAAGTTCAGCTAAAATTTTCCCCTTTTTATACGTTGTCTCTTCCCTCTGTTGGTTCTTTTGCTATGCCGAAGCTTTTTAATTTGATATGATTTCATTTTTTGATTCTAGATTTTATTTCTTGTGCAACTGGGGTTGTCTTCAGAAGGTCTTACCAACACCTATGATTTCAAATTTTACCTATTTTATCTTCCAGAGGGTTAACTGTTTCTGTTTTAACATTCAGATCTTTTATCCATTTTATTTATTTATTTATTTTTTCAGCTTTAATTGAGTTTATTGGTACATTTTAGGGATACAGTATAGTTGCATTCATTGTTGGGATCATGTACCTCTACATGACAAGTCTTGATTCTCATTTTTACCCCTTACCTCTGCCCTCCCTTCACCCCCTCCTCCCCTCCCCATCTACAAACACTTTATTTTCATCTTTTATCCATTTTAATTTTAGTGTAGTGCATGGTGATAGATATGTCTAGGTTCAATTTCTTGTATGTTTACAGGCAGTCTTCACAGCACTATTTTTAGCCTATCTTTCCCCCAGGGAATGAATTTCACCCTTTGTCAAAGTAAAGTAACTGAGTATACCTGGAGCTGTTTCTGCATCCTTTATTCTGTTCTATTGATTTACAAGTCTGATATTTTGCCAATACCATGCTGTTTTTTCATTTATTTGTTTGTAATTTTTTACACTGTAGCTTCAAAGTATATAGTGGAACCTCAAGTTATGACTGGCCTGACAGATGAACAACTTGGGTTAATAATATCAACCAGCATGAGTATTAATGCATTTTCAAGAAACTAGAAATGATTGGAATATTGATGATAAATTCCTTATTTTTCTCAATATGAGCTATATTTATATAGTATCTAGCAGTCTCATATTTTATATTATTTAATTAAATATGTACATGCAATATTAATATGTTATACAATATATTTGAATTCCAAGAATTTGCATTCATTCTAGACCTATACTATAAATCTCAAGTGTGATTTGGCAAAATTAATTATACTATCTATAGGAGAAGCAGTCAATTATAATTATTGTTTCCAAGAGATTAAACAATATTTTAGAATAAATAAACTGTATTCACATGTAGTACGTGAGTCCTTGAAGGTAGCTTTTAAATGTTGACATATAGACTTCTTCTTTTACTTTTTTACAAAGTTTGGATTTGTGTTGGCATTTGTCTTTTTGATATAAAGCATGAAACCTAAGAGAGTGATGAATGAGTCTCAGTCACGATGCCAAAGGTGTGATCCATCATCAGTGACAGTCAGGTGGTGCAGTGTGAAGGTGCTGAAGGGCAGCACATGCTGTGTTGAAGTTGAAGATGTTTCTCTTACCCTCTATCATTGCCTTAGAAATGGCATTTTTAAAAATTACTAGAAAAACCAAATTCCTTTGGAAACCACACATGAATTAAATACCAGCATAAATCTTTGCTACTTAAGCCCTTAATAAGTGAATAAAAATCACTATGGATTTGTGTTTTGAAATTGGCTTATTTCTCCTCTACACCTAGGAATTTTCTAGGTGTTTCTAAATCTTCAATATTTAGCTCATAAATCATGATTAGTTATCCAAGCTTTCTAGTAGTCTATCATATAATATGAGGAGCAAATACTTGAAATGCATGAAATAATTTATACACAGAACTTGGTTCAAGGGAATAAATGAGGTAAATAAAGCATCTTAATGTAGCATGCATGATAAAAGAGCAAAACAAAACAAAACAAAAAAAAGCCATGGACAATGTATGGGAGGAACAAAATAAAATCCATGATAGAATGGCCTGGGTAATCCATGGGGAAAATATGGAAGGGAAAAAAATAAAGCTTTTGATATTGATTAGATATCTTTAGGAATTCACCAGAAAGGTGACATTTAAAGAATTTAAGGCATTTTAACTCTGTTTCAGTAGCAATGAGTTACTTCTCAGAATGATTTAAAGATGAGGCTGTTGGTACTAATGTATGAAAAACAATACATATTTTGGTAAAAGTGACAGATTTCAGAGACAATTTAAAGAACGAACAACAGTATTATGCTATATGAGATATTAAGTAGCGTGAAGAGCCAAGGATAATTTTAATAGTTATATCTTAAGCAAAGCTGATATGTTGATTATTAGGTAAGTGAGGAGCACGTACAGAGAAGGTGGTGTTTGACACTATACACGTGTAATACTGGGGTTATATAGGACCAGGCAAAAACATCAAATAGGGGATTTAGCTCAGTGGTTCTGCTGCTGCCTCACAAGTGCAAGGATCTGAGTTTAAGCCCCGTGTACCAAAACAAAATGAACAAACAAACAACATCAAATAGGTAGATGGGCACATGAGTTTGGTGCTCGGAAAAGAGCAGCTAGAAATGCACTGTTTAATATAGGAACAATGTACAAGATGGATACCACTAGTCACACATCAATTTAATTTTAAAAGTATTTAGATTGTGCTAGAATTTCAGTTCACATGCTTAGTGACCACACATACTAGTGTTCACCGTGTCTGACCACACAGAATATTTTCATCGATGTGGCTGATTCAAACATAGTTGTCCCAGCACCCATCCAAAGGAAGAAGAGCACAAGAGAAGAATGAGCTCATGCGTAATTCCCAAGAAGGACAAGATTGGGAAACTGCATTCACCCTGTGAACTGCTTATGCTCGGCAGTATTTGAAGCAATTTGGGGGACTTGTTTGATTCTTTTCTTCCACATTTATTCCTAATCTGTAGATCTCTGCTATTCTCAGTCAAAGGCCTCACATGATTTGTTATCCAGTTCTTAAATCTACTTTTAATAGATTTCATGTTCCACATTTGCTCAACATTTGTTTTTAGATTTACTATATATTATTAGCATTGTCTTGCTAAAATTCTGTCCATAACTGATACCTAACTAATGATGACTGTGAACTTGTATTCAAAAAAAGCACTTGAGCTGTATTTAGAAGCCTTTAAAATCAAATGTGATGTAGGATATTTGGGGTTCCAGAGGAAAAGGTACTATTTCTTACATTATTGGATCAGTAGCACATTTCATGTGGCACTCAAAATGTTCAATATATTATATATATATATATGAATACAAATGCAGCAAAGGAAAAATGCTTCATATAGGTGATGCCATGGAAACCAGCCAATGATCTAATTCTGTCTGTAAGCTTTCAGAGGAAATATCAAATTATTAGTGCTTTCATTATTTTTCCTATCTTGTTTTTTAAAAACACTGTATATTTAATTAATACAATGTTAGTAAGTATAGGGATTTCAAAAATATTTTCCTTAGTAAAATTTTATTTTTCTTTTCTTATATAATATCTAACCAGGAGTTTTTCATAAAATTATTTGTGCATCATAAAGAGAAGGTACTAAAAATATTATGGCATTTATTGCCATAATATATATATGAAAATTATCACAGTAGAATTAAAATTTAGAGTAAGGCAATTTTGTATACTTCCTAGAAATTAAGGCTAATAATTCTTATTAAAGTGTGTATTTTACAATATAACATAGTTATATTTGGCTTCAACATATATATTTAAATTTTAACTTAATATTACAGTGATGTGAATAAAGATTAATTTTGGCATTATTAAATATAAAAAACATTTTAAAATTTCTAATTTTTAACTTTCAGTTAATAGTAATAGTATTTGGTTATCAAACATCCTTTGGAGTTTAATAACTTCAAATAATACAGAATCATATTTGCTAACATTGTTTTAAATATATGGCATTTGAAATATAAATCTGCAGTTATGTAAAAACATCATCATCCAAAAAATATCCAAAAACCCCCAAAAATGAATACCACCAGGGCTAGGGATTTAGCTCAGTGGCACGGTGCCTGCCTCACAAGTGCAAGGTCTTGAGAGTGAACTCTGGAAAAAAAAATAAAGAAAAAGAAGACGAAAAGGAGGAGGAGGAGGGGGAGGAGGAAGGAAGGAAGGAAGGAAGGAAGGAAGGAAGGAAGGAAGGAAGGAAGGAAGGAAGGA